TAAACACTTCCATTTTCTGAAGAATCTAGTTGTGTTAATTTTGGATAATGAATGGAAAAAAAATTCTAATTAAAAATAACCCCAAATCCATGTCAGTGTCAGCTCTCAGGCTATAAGTGAACTAATCAGAGATCACAGCAGCTTCAGAAAGACAGTTGCACACTAAGTAGCCTAAAAATCAATTCTTTTATTTTAGTTAACCCTTTCAGGGGACCTGGCAGAATATTCACCTGCACCCCAATGAGCTGAGTCCTGCAGATACATGGAAAAGAGCACCAGATGGACTTTAAGGCATTGTTCCGTTCAGCGGTCTCCATCTTAAGACTCTGGCTGGGCAATAGTAAAAACAATTATATAAAAGATTCACAGGACAGCTCTTTAAAACAATGCAGATTCTCAGGCTTCACTGTCAGAGACTCAGATTAGTAAATCCAGCTTGCCCCGTCAGTAAGTTTTTAAAGACATTTCTCTTTCATGCCTTTTAGTGCAAAGATAAACAATGATTTAAAATAAGTAACCTTGATTAACCACTGCTGTGGAAATATTTGGCCTCAGAGAATTCTTTTGCCAAGACACATCAAAATAAAATTAGATGTTACATGTGAAAATGCTTTATAAATTGTAGAGAAAAATAAGCCTTATTTCCATGCACTCAGCAAATAGCTTATACGTTGCCTCTCACACAACAAGGTGCTTAGTAGCATGACTAAACAGAAAAAAGCTACAGACTGTCAAAATGGGACTGCATTGCTCTCACTGAGAGCTTAGGAAACAAGGAAGGACCGCTAGACACAGACTGATAATGTTCAACAGGATGAAAGGAGCCCCAAGTTCAAAGAAGTTCTAAACCTTGGCAGTCCATCAAGGCAGGTCATCGTTCTGAAGATGACTCAGCAGAAATACATAACTCTGCTAACAGTACACTAGCAGATTTTTCAGGAAGACTCACACATTTGGATTTAGAACCTTCTAGAACTTGGGGGCGTGGCCTGGCCATTTCATTCCACTCAAAAACTTCCTATATGCCTCACCTTGATCAAGATCCTTAAAGACTCCAAGATTACATCCCCCATTTGTGCAAAAGAGGACAATTGTATTTACCTCAGACAGTTGCTGTGAGGATTAAAAAATAATTTGTGATAAGAACCATCTACATAATAAAGCACCTATTCCCCTCTGCTTGAGACCTATGCACCAGATCCTAAGATCGGGCAATGCTCAAAAACGAATGGGATGGCAGGTAAGACCTAAAATGTAATTTATTATTGTACACCAAAGCAGCCAACTCTGATGGGAGTTTGACAAATGGGTGCTGAATATATGTAGTGATAAAAGTCTAAATGTTGGTGCCTGGAATAGTGTTCAGTTTATCTGGCCCATATCTGTGAGTCTTTCTGCTTAACCCTCCAACACACGAACATGCATGCACACACACACACACACACACACGCAGGGAGGGAGGGAAGGGGGGGAGAGAGAGAGAGAGAGAGAGAGAGAGAGAGAGAGAGAGAGAGAGAGAGAGATTCGCTCTCATTTTCCCCAGCAAAGGTAGCTCCTGTTTTGCAGCATTCTTCACCGAAGTCTCATTACCATCTTTTACCGCCTTTCAGCTTCACTGAGCAGTCACTGCATCCTAAAACCTGTCCATAAATACTTGAACAGGGCTGCATTAGCAGTCAGCTCCCACCCATTCAGTCGATAGTAGCTGCCCTGGAATTAGCTGGGCTTTCACTGGTGTTGTAAATCACATTTTTCCTGCCTAAGGGTGTGCTTTATCACTGAAGGAAATTTGGCATGAGGTGAAGAGTAGCACAAAGCAGCCAACAGGTTGGACAGAGATTCCCACAGAAATCTTGGCTTTGCCAGTCATGTCTGTGAGGTCTGCAGTGCAGGACAGTGGTCTTCCCACTGGGAGTCAGAATTCCAGCATTTATTTAAAACTATATAATTTAAAATCAATAGGAAAAGCGAGTCTCTGGATTCCACTCACTCCTCTTGTTTAAACCATTTATGATACTACCCAGCTTCACTCTTCTTAATCCTCTGACATGGCTCTAAATGCCAGTTTAAAAAACCAAGTTCAACTTCATAGAATGAAGATTTACAACCTTCAAATATATTAAAAGAATATGCTACAGTCTCTCAAAGAAATTCTTAAAAGGGGGCACGAGAAAAGTCTGAAAACTAGAATATGTGTGCAGTCTTCAGGTTAATTGCTTTGAAATGCAACACTTACATGGAAGGGGTATTTGATCTACTTGTGTGAAGGAATCAGTTATGTACTTTTTACTTCACAGAAGAATCATATAGGAAGATTTCTCCAAAGGTACAACATCAACAATTCTGTCTTTGAGCAGGACCTAGGCTTTGAATATCTTCTAGGGTCTGTTTTAGGTGAAGTCAGGTGTTGAAAAGACACTTCAACATGGCTTCTTTTTTCCCAGAGAATAAGAACATTTAGTGTTGGATAGTGTTGATTATGAATGCAACTTCCAGAGGATAAGAATGTTTAATGTTGAATGGTGTCTGAGTACAAAGGAATTCAACGAAGGGAAAGAGGGGACCCTAGAGCGGTAAGGAAAGCTTCAAGAAGGAGATTGAGGTGGACCTGAAAACATGACTTGGGCTGATATCAGCAAAGGAATGGAGGAGGACAGCTCCAAAAAGCATCAGGTGGGGGCTTGTGACTAGGTTCACCTGGCTGGATAGTGAGGTATGAGCACATTGGAGGATCGTGAGAAATGAAGGTAGAGTTGGGTCAAATTGTAGGATGCCTTTAAAGGTGGGGAGAGGAGCTGAGTATTAATACCTTAAGGAAGAAGAAGTCATTATAGACTTTGGAGCAGGAGAGCTATCACAATAAAAGAAGTGTTTCAGGAAAATTAAACTAAAAATCATAGGGGTTTAAAGCAGGAGGTAGAGGAAACTATTTCAGTAATAGAGGAATCAGAAGTCTAGAATAGATATATTTTTATATTTATTTTACTTTCCTCAGAATTTCGATAACATTTATCTCTATTATTTATTTGCCACTTAGGCTCTACCTGTGGGATAGTCATCTTTTTTGGCATTTCAAGAGATCACATACCTCCTCCACTAGATTACACATTGGGACCACATTACATATTTATACTTTTTAATGCACTGATATGCCCCTAAAATTGTTTACTCACAGTTGGAAAAGAAGAAAAGTAAGCAAAATTATTTATTGTGGCTGAATTAGAGAAATTTTAAAAAAACTCGAGATGGATTAGCTAGAGGAGATAGTCAAAGGGACCTCCCAATTTTCTAACCAAAGGGGTTAAAATAGTAATTAAATACTCAGAAAACGGCTTGTTTAAGGGAAATTTGATGAGTTAAGTGTTAGCTTGTTGATATCCAAGTAGAAATATCATGTTAGCTTTCGGAAACAAAGAATATAGTTGAGAAATAACCCACACTTTTACTTATCACCATCTCTTCTTATGACATCCTATTATGACATTATTAATGACCTATTTATTCTGCTCAAACCAATGGTTTACCTTTGTAAATATGGTGAATGCAGGATCCATATATACTTTTATCAAATGTTTATCAGGGTTTCTTAACCTCAGCAGTATTAACATTTTGGGCTGGATAGTTCTTTGTTGTGGGGGCTTTCCTGTGCATTGCAGGATGTTTAGCACTATCTCTGACCCCTACGCACTAGATGCCAATAGTGTCCTTATTCCCCAACTTATGACAACTAAAAATGTATGCATCCAGACATTGCCAAATGTTGTCCCCTGGGGGGTGACTTAGATCTGGTTGGAGAGGCACTGATCTAGATAGATGCTGGATGGGAAATATCAATTTAGGAGTCATTTGATCAAAGATTATGCTTCAGTCTCAGTTCCAATAAGAAATGGAACCTAGAGAAAAAATAGCTGGTCGCTAAGAACAAAGCTCTGGGTAATGAGTATAAAATTAGGGGCAGCTAGCAAGAGAGTTTCCAAATGAATTGCTAATTTAATGATACACCTACCTATACCTGTATACAGTTTCAGCCAGCACTGTCCAACAGAAATATGTAAGCTACAAATGTAATTTTAAATTCCCTAGTAGTCCTGTTTTAAAAAGTTAAAACAAACTAATGAAATTAATTTTAATAGTATATTTTATTTCATTATATATCCCAAATATTACCACCTCAACGTGTAATCAATATATATAAATTATTAACAGTTATTTTACATTCTTTTTTTGGTTTTTTTTTGTATGAAGTCTTTGAGATCTGGTTTGTGTTTTACACTTACAGCATGTCTCAATTTGATTATCCATTTCAAGTGCTCTGACCACATATATGTGACTGGGGCTACCATATTGGATGGAACAGGACAAGTCAGTCAATTTAAATACACATTTTCTGGTCCCTTTAATTGACATCATTATTCTTTTCATAAAGGGAGCTGTAGGGGTTAGTGACAGGTCTGAAAACCTTTATAAATTTACTTTATACTTTAGAAACAACAGGTGTCACTTTTTGGCATCGAGTTCTATGAATTCTGATAAAGGTATAGAGTCATATGACCATCACCAAAGTCAGGATACAGAACAGTTCTCTTAACCCCAAAATTCCCTTGTGCTGTTCTTTTGTTGTCAAATTCTCCCCCACCCATATGTCCAAATTTTTTCTTTCCTTCCTCCCTTTCTTTCCCTCCCTCCCTCCCTCCCTCCCTTCTTTCCTTTCTTTCTTTCTTTCTTTCTTTCTTTCTTTCTTTCTTTCTTTCTTTCTTTCTTTCTTTCTTTCTTTCTTTCTTTCAGAACAGGACTCTCTCCTTTTACCAAAAAATAAGGAAAAAAGATAGATGGGTAACAGAAACACAGTAGGGAAGATACGACCCTTGACATTGGGAGTATATTCTTTTTGAAAGCTCATGTGCAATGAGCTCTGCTTAACTTAAAGTCACACAAGCCCACTCAGGGAGGTGGGCCATGTGTTTTCCCTTCCCCCACATTCATCTGTCATTCCTCTGCAGGTTACAGGAATAGGAAGACCTCTCCCAGAATACTCCGTGTGACAGATGGGAGAATTACACCAGGAGCGACCGAGAGGAGGAACATGGGCAAGCACTCCACAGGTGGGAGCCTTTCCATGGCTACGCAACAGGGGACTAAGCAAGGGGACCCATGGCATGCTAGATATTCCTTCCACCCCGGTTTCTTGATTCTAATCTGCCTCTATCTTTTCATGGCCTCTTTGCTTTACTAAGGAGAGAAACTTAGGAAAAACAGCCTTTAGTGCATGTGCACCTCCTGTAGTGGACAGGCCTAGACTGCTGCTCTCATCGAAGTGTAGGTGACTTGGGTTGTGCCAAACACCATGAGGGCAGGTGTCCTTGGGCCAACTGACAGCAGTGGCTCTGGCTTGGCCATGCTTCTCAGCATTTCCATTCTGTTCAAAGCCTAGGGAGCAGATGGGAAGAGGCATGTGGAAGCACCTCCCTCACATATATGTCACCATTGGCACCCAGGTTGGGAAGGGGAAGGCTGCCTGTGTGCTTGACACTGTTCCAGGAGCACATGCCTACTGTGCTGTCCTTAGAATCATGCTCCAGAAATAGGGTTCTGAAAGTCACTTACACCCCCACAAACACACTCACAGACACATCATGCACACATGCAAGCACATTCTCCTCAGTTCACATTGTTGAATGTTTGTCTTTGCAATTTGCAATTGTAATAATGCAGTTATGGTCTTCAGGGTGTCTATTCTTGGACATCTCCTTTATATATTTCTCATAATACTTCTTTTTATCCCCACTCTCCCTCACATACACACAAAGATTTGAAAAAAATTTAAAAATTGCAATAACATAAAGTAAGGCTCTGACCTAAAAATATATGCATTAATTGGTCAAGTACTTTGAGTAATTATGTTGTAAAATTAAAGTTGAAAAGCAATTGTCAAAACCAGAAAATCCTTTTAACCTCATATCTTATGCCTCCCACAGTCTCCCAAGCAACGTGCTTGCAGTGGAAAACCTGGGACCATCTAAAAGCCTGCACGGCTTCAATGGATAGCTATCGACTAGCTTATTCATCATTTCAAGCTTACTATGTAGTTCAACAAACTCAAGTATCCTCATCGGCATGTACTTTAAAAGGGGAAATGTCCTGTGGACATTGGGACTTTCTAGGCAAAGAATAAAAAGAGGGGATAGTGGCAGAGATAAGACTATATGTTCACAAATTCTCATTTCATTTTCTTCCTGGGTATGTGGAAAGGCCACCTTTCACAGTCTCCTCTGCCAACTGAATTCTGGCTAATGAGACGTGGACTGAAAGTGTCATGTGCCCCTTCTGGACCTAGCCCACTGAAACTACCCACTGAAACCACCATACATATTCTCCTTGTGGGCCAGCCAGATACAAGATACCCCATGAAGACTCCGAAGCCCCTGGAGTTCATGGAGCAACTCAATGAAAGGAGTTTGAGCCTCTGCTTGAGCAGTGCCTCTACCTTCAATCCTCAAACCACATCAGACTGTGACGTGAGCAAGAAATAAAACTCTGAGTTACTGAGCTTCTGGAATTTTTGATAATAGCATTTTTCATCTCCCAATCATCACAGGTAGCAACCACCTGACACCCAACTTTCCTCACCTCTGGTCTCAATGGAGGTTAATCACAGCAGGCGCTCCTTCAGCTGGCTGTAGTTGTGAACAAGATGATGCTTACGACTCCTTGGGGACCAGGGCTTGTCTACAACCCTGTCCAATTTTACTACTGTTCAATTTACTACTGCCTACTGCTCAATTTTCATTGCTTTGTTGGGTCTACAGGGAAGATCATTAGCAAAAAGTTGGGTCCCCTAACATCAATGGGACAAACAGCAGCTGCACACTTGTTGGAACCTGATTGGTGGTGTACTCCTAAGTGTTTAACAATTGGTTCTATGAAAATAATTATAAATGTATATGTGTATGTGTGTATATATATATTAATATATGTTATATATATACACATATATGCAAAAGTCTACTATTAATTTTACTGATATTAAAAATATGTAGCACATAATTTATAAATAAAATGTACAATAGCCAATTGATCTCACAGAATTTTTTCATCGATTTTTGCCAAACTCTTGTATCCATAGGCAACATATTATTGCAGTTCAATCATGATTTGACAAAGTTGCATCCCGGTTTGCTAATTCTTTTCCTAATACATTCATTGTCATTAAATCTGATATATAGCCTGCTGTAAAACTATTTCTCAGCCTCAAACAAATTACATTCACCGAGGTGACAATTCTCAGTACTATGTATATGGGAATTTCACTCATTTGTCAATTACGTTAGCAAACTTTTTGCTGAATCAGGTAATAGTTTTGAATATTTTTACAAGTTTTTATGCTAGTCACAATGTACTGCCTATACACATGATGCCCTTTTATGTTTAACTTGTACTATTAATACTTTTTCCATCAGTTTCTTAAGTCTAGATCAGTGGTTGGCAAACATTTTCTGTAAAGGACCAGATAGTAAATATTTTAGGATTTGTGGGCCAGATGGTTGCTCTCATCATAGCTCAACTCTGTTATTGAAAATCAGCAGATATAGACAACACATGAACAAATGGGCATGGCTATTTTCCAATAAAATTTTACAACACTCAATTGTCTGAATTTGGCCCACTGGCTATTGTTTGCAAACCTTGTCTAATTAACAAAATAAGAATCAAGCTTTGAGATGCAGAGTTTGCCAATTTGTTTGGTGCAAATACTCCCACCATGGTCAATTTCAGGCTACTGATATGATGTTGCTGAATGCAGAGTTGGGAGAAGGTTTGCAGCAGCAGAGCAATGCGTGATATTTTTATCATAGAGATACAATAGAAATAACTGTAAGACCATAGATAATACTAATGTATAATAAAATAATTAGGCAGTGGCACCTTTATTTTTAATATAATTTAATTGTAAGACTATATCATTTAATTTTTAATAATGGCTGCATTGAACTTGCTCACAAAATTCCTGAAAATTTATTAATCAGCTCTTACAAGACAGTATAGAATGGTCTAACACACCACCTGATCCTGCAGTTGCTCTTCTCCATGGCTGTTGTATCAGAGTAGGGGCATATCTCTCACTGACTTATTTTCTCCTGAGGCACAGTTTGAGTCATTGGATAGTAAATATTATTAAATAAGTTATCTTGCTCAAAAGATAACTGCTAACTCTTAAAACTCAAAGCATTCATCAGTTCTTACATGTTCAAAGTTATTACAGATTCTTTGTACATTTGAAACTGAAACATGCTCAATATTTTCCTTTAACATAGCACAACTTTAATTTATCTTTACTTAAGGGCATATATAATAGATTACGATATTTATGTGAAAATACTTATGCACAGACTTTCACCCTTTTTAAACATCTATCTTAAGGTGAGAAAATAAAAATCTCAAATGTAAATATACTATAGCAAAGGAGATCCTTACATAGAATGCCTATGCACGAGGCAATATGATTTAATTGAATAGGATGCCAACTTTAGAATCAGAAAAATGTGGGTTCAAATCCCTGCTGTGATACATGCTCACTATATGTCCTAAGGCAAATTTCTAACCTTTTTAAATCTCAATCTCCCATTTTATAAAATGAATCAATAGGTTGTTATGAGGCTTAAGTGAGGAAAAAAAATATGTGAAGGACCACAATGTTAAGCTCTTATAAAGAATTCAGTAAATGGCAGTCATTATTATTATTCGCTGAGACTTTATTACCTTATTAAGTTTTCTGATCATGAAGATCATAATGCCAATGATTATTCACACTTTTGATGGTTCAACATTTGAATTGGAGGCTGTGTATTTCAGATATATAGGTCCTCTTCATCATGCATTGGGTACCAGGAGTTATACTGAATAATCAAAAATTTTCAGATCTGTAAGATTAAACTGGCATTTTCCAATTACCCATGTGGCAAACTGAGCCCCTTATACTTTTTCACAAGATACGAGAAACAAACAAACAAAAAAGGCTTGCTCTCACTTAAAAATAATCTAGTGGCCTACCATCTCAAAAACTTGCCCAGCTTACTTAGTAAAGCTATCTAAGATGGCTCCCACAGCTGAAGAGATGAACTCAGTTTCAAGTTAGCTTTGTGTTTTCCTGTTCTGTCTCATAGATGGGTAACATTAGATTTGGCCATGGTATTAAGATTAAAGCACCTAGTGGCTCTTACACTTCTATAGGAACATCCTAAATTGTGTATACAAATGTTCAAATAATTTTTAGGAAGATTTCCCTTATTAACTTCAATATGAGGTAAACTCAATGCCATAATATATACTTGAGAGTTCTAACCCAGTACTTAAGAAGCATGTAGGCGTCGTTGGTATTGTCGAGTATTGTTGTTGTTCCTAATGATCTCTTTATCTCCTACAGCTTTGAATGGTGATGGCAGAGCCACATTAAAATTTTGATTCACTATTGCACTGTGAATCTTTCCAAATTTCCAGTGTAATGTCCAAAAATACACAGGTGTTCCCTGATTTTCAATACAATTATTCGATTTTATTATTTTATCATAACTTAGATACCAATGCAGAGTAAAACTCAAATTCTTGAACACTTAAGAGTGGCTAAGTTTTTTGTTTGTTTTCTGAAACTTCAGAAAATAATTCTTCATAAAGCATTTAAAATAATCTACCAAGTACACATAAAATGAGACCTGCTACGTAAAAATTCTAAACATGTTATTTTTAAGGCAGTATGCCTATTTGACAAAGCACAATATCATCATGGTCATAGAATAACTTGATACATTTAGTGAAAGTATTTTATTCATCCTACTTAGCATACATAATTGAAAAATAACTATGTGCTCATTTGCTATGATTTCTTTTTTAACAGGCTGAATAAAATAGTCACCAGGACTAATATTGGCCAAAGAGTTTCCCAAAGGAAAGAAATAACAGACTTTCTTTATGTTTTTTTTTCTTATTTCCTTTTTTTTCTAAGCAATATGTATTTAAACATGACCCCTATTTGCTATATTTTGGTAATCAGATACCTTATAACAATGTATGCTTCTTGAGCTATTAACTTATATTTTTCTTC